CAACCTTGTTATTAGCAGTGATCAACACACCCTGGGTTGCATTGGCCAAAATAAGCCGCCCTCAACTTTGGCATCGTTTGGGACGGATTTTTTATTGCTTTATAAAACGGAGTTTTAGTACAAATTTTTTATTTTTGTACTAAAAATTCGTTTTAAAAAGCAATAAAAAAGCCATCCCAAACGAAGCCTTTGTTGCATTACACGTATCATATTACCTTGTAGATTTTCTGTGTATTATGGTTTAAGCTCAAATGTTCTATGATTTGGACCACATTATATTGTATAAAGAGGGATCATTTAACTTTATCATGATTAAATGATAAGAGATCTTTAAATATCCATGGAATAAGGAAGTAAGATGATCAACTATACAACTAACCTCCACTAAGCAACAATTCTATAAGGCCATTATATATATAATTAAATGAAAAGAATGATGACTATGCCTGAGACTTTATAAAAGAATGTAAAGAAGAAGCAAAATAAATACACAGCTAATTTCTAAGTGTGAGGTTGATTCGGGCTGCAAATGAACCGATCGTTCAACGAGCTACTCGTGACTCGCCTCGATAAGTGCTCGTTTATGTTCGTTTGATAAGGTAAATGAACAAGCTTGCACAATTTTGACAATACTCGATAGCTAAATAAACAATCATGAACAGCCTAGCGTTCGGCTCGTTTATGTTTACGAACAACATCGTTTAGAGCTCGTGAATATGCTCGAAAAGCTCTATTATGCCTTATTTAATAAAAAATAAATATTATATCTTAACTCATTTTAACTGATATATATATATATATATCCTGTCAAGTCTACTTATTCCTCTCCCACCTCAGCTTTCCTGCGTCAATTCCCTCTTCCCGCCTCCGCTTCTTCTCGGGAGAAAAAAAAAAGCGGTAGCTTCATTTATCCCACACCGTGAAAAGATTGAAAAGTTTGCTCTACATAACAAGACATAGTGGTCTTGTAAATAAGCCGTGGCAGGCTGGGATCTGTAGGCTGGGCAGTTGGTTGTGTGACCTGGCTGATTTTCTCCGTCCCGATTAAAAAATAAATAAAATAATGTTTTTTGAGCAACTGGCTTTATTTGCGGCTCGATAAGCCGCAATTAGATTTGTGGCTCGATAAGCTGAAATTAATCGAGCTCGAACATGTTCACGAACTGAAATCGAACAGTGAAATTTTAAGCTAGCTTGAGCTCGAACACTATAAAAGAAGCTCGACAAGCCTTGAACCGAGCTCGAACATGCTTTTGACAAGTGAGCTGAACTCGAACATGCTGAGGCTCAGCTCGATTCGATTCATTTGCAGCCCTAAGGTTGATGAATTCGATGGTGCAAAATGGCAAAATAATTACAATGTTTGACACTGTACAATGAGGCAATAATTATTCAAAAAATGTAGCTGTGAATAAAGTAATGAATGTATGTGCAGAATCGGATGTCCCATACAAGTACAAAAAAAGATGCATGAAAATATGAAGAAAAATATAACTAGAAAACAATTACGTTTTAGCCTTTCAATGTGGACCACTCACTTCAATTACTAAGAGAACAAATAATATCATTGAAGAGAGAGAAATATGAAACATATATGAAAATTCTTGGCCTCACTCAGCACTGATTGCCTTGAATATATCTATAAAAACCATAACGTACCAATCAGTCGTCATATCAACTACAAATGTACTATAGATGACAATAACTTCAGAAATACTATCTTCTATCAAAAATCAGTTCATGTAAGAAAAAACAACTAGTTTTATCATGTTTAATCGGAGGAGTTTGCCTTTAGCTCTTCAATGGCATTGAAAAAGATTCATTACACTTCTTATAATGGAGATTGAGTATAGCAAGAGAAGTGCAATGAATTTTTGGCATTAGAAAAGATTCCAATGTTGGACTATAAAGTGATTCACAGTGATGTTATAAGTTATCATTAACGATATCAATTTATTGTAAGAAATTATATTTAGCTTACACTAAAATTTGGTTATATATACCAAGAAAAATACTTGCTCCTAGCTCAATAAAAGGTACATATGCTCAGGGGCAGAACCCCTTTGAGGCTTTGCCCCCCCCTGAATTTTTTTTTTCTTATTATATTATTATTTAGGTAATTTGTCCCCCTTCAATCTATTTTTCCCCCCCCGAAAATTATGGTTGGTTCAACCCCTGCATCTGCTCAACCCCTTGAAGCATAATTACAATTACCATTATAATTTAATTATCATGGAAGTTTTTATTTGTGTGCTCCAATTCATTATAGTCGTAGAAATCATTTATTATTGTACAAAGAGTTGAGGGATTATTTTAGAACTTTTCTCTTTCTCTCTCTATTTTAATCAAAATATTAAATAATAGTGATCAATAGCATTAGAAAAAGGTTATGAAACCTTTATTTACCTTCAAACAAAAAATCCATAGATAAAAGAAATGATGAGTATATATATTATATGGATCACCTCACAACACAATATTGTGTGTATGTGGAAGCAAAAATCCATTCATATTCAATCAAACAAATTCTTTAAAATTTAACGTGTCTATAGCTCAAGTGCATGTATTTCATCATATAGTACATATTTTCTTCAAAAAAAACTTTGAGATTTTTTATTTTAGGATAAATCCCTCAAAACTATACATATACTGCTCAAGAGCTTGCAAACGCTAAACATCAAAACAATTCGGTGACATATAAGATATAGAAAATAAATTTATTTTGAATATTTTTTTTTTCAAAACAACCAGGCATTATCTTAACAAATTAACTTTTTTAATTTGAGAATCACACCACAATTTAAAATAAAGTTTTATTTAGGGTACCTTTTTTGCTGCTTTCTAAAGTAGTTTTCAGTACAAAAAATTCTAATTTAATAAATTTTGTATAGAAAAACTGCTTCAGAAAGCAATAAAAAAGCCGTGCCTAAATCTCCATTCATTGCAGTCATAAAACATAAAACCATGAATAAAAATTGCTTGTTTCATTAATGAATTGAATAAATCCTCTCGAAGGATAAATCCAACAACATTCATTTCTATCACAACCTATAAATTTGTTTTTACATTCTCTAATTACATAAAAGGTTAAATCAAAAGCAAAAAGAAACTTAAAAATTTATTAACATGATACATAGAAAAAAATCAATCAATAATCTTGCTTGAAAAAGCTATATGAGTAATGGTGGTACCACTTAGGATCTTTGGTCATATGAATAGATGGTTCAGAATTAGGTGATATTATCATCATCTTTTGTAGCAAAAATGCATCTATTATTATATTACATGGAACCTCCTCCCCTTAGGTGAAGTACCAAACTTATTCTTTCCCATTCAACGTTAGCTAACTATTTAGAAAAAATGATGAAAAGTGCAATGATTGTGGAAAAGCTATTGATATCGTAGAATCCTTATTCAGCGTTAGCTTTTTGTTAAGTAGAAAAAGGTGGCAAATCCAATGCTTATTAAAGAGTAAATTGTGCTAATTGATTTTGATGTTTAAGAAAATTTAGCATGATTTGATGATGAGCATTATTTTTTTTGAGAAAACGTTCAATAATAGGTATGGAATGAATTAGTTTTGTTTCCCAAATTGAGAGATCAATTTCAATCTTAAAAGTTTTTTATTTGGATGAGCATAAGCCTAATTTTGCTGATAAGAACAAGCCTTCCTCTCTAATTTTTTGAAGGTATATATGGAGCTCTATTTGCGCTAATTTCTTTTTGATCCAAAATGTGGAAATTAAGATTTCATTTGGGATGATTTTTTATTATTTTTTAAAACAATTTTAGTATAAAATTTTTAATTTTTATACTAAAATTTTGTTTTAAGAAGCAATAAAAAAATCTTCCCAAATAAAACTTAAATAACTGTCTTAAATGAAAGTTAATAATCATTGACACTTCTCAAATACCAAGTCATCAAAGTTTTGAATTCCTAGTAGAATTGTTGAAGACATATAGTATCAGTATAACTATTTGCCATTGCTAGAATGCTATAATTCTATAACCAATTTTACAAGTCCGTAACTTAGCAGAATAAGATTGAAAACAAGCTAAAATTGTACCATTTGAGTAGGTATAAGATTTAAAATGGCGAAGATGATTGGCATGCTAACATTACATGAGATAGGGAGATCATGGGGGATCAAAGAAAGAAGATGATTTTTTATTTGTCATAATATATCTTTTATTTTAACAAAATTAATAATATATTTCTAACTATTGCACTAAAAAAAAAATTGTCATAAAATGCTGATTTTTGCTTAAAAAATTTTTCAAAAACAAAATTAATATAATAGCTAAATAAAATTTTGACAAATATGTGCAAAGCATGAAAAAAATTGCTCCAAAGAAACTTTTAGAATCATTATAATCATCTCAGGTGGGATTATTTAAAGTTCATTTGATCATTCAATATAAAAAAAATGTAATTATAACAAATGGATTCTTTTGTATAAAAGAATGTAATTATACTTTTAAGCATATTTTTGAGTAAAATTGAATTTATATTTAAATGCTATTAATATTGATGAAGTCATCTCGCTGACATTATTTTACAAAATTTATCTATACTCTGCAATTAATTAATATTTAAAAATATAAAATCATAATTTGGGCAATTTAATTCATACATGTTAAATCAAGTTAATTTCGAATTAATCAAAGCACGAATCAAAATTAATTGATTTTAATTTCTAATAAAGTTGAGTTAGAATATTTGATTATAATACAAAAAAATTGCCATTTTTGCAGTCCAGTACTGTTTATCTAATAAAATAGATTGTTAGGGTTTATTCTGCAAAAGAGTTAACCGTACGACGCCGACAGCGACCAATAAAAAAAGGCGCAGGAGGTGGCACATGCTTGCAGTCACGTCCGTCAGAGACATGAGCGGCAGTGATCTCGCTCTTCGAGGAAGACCACGGTCCTGATGCAGCTCCGTCCGTGCCACCAATCCGTCCCCGGTCTCTCTCTCCTCTCTCCCATTTAAAATTCTCATTTCCTCAAAAAAAAAAAAAAAAAAAAAAAAAAAAAAAAAACTAAAAATAAAATTAACCATTAATAAAAGCAAAAGCTCAAGATCGATGGGGAGACTTTCCAGCACAAGGAGGTATCAGGCAGCTATAATTAATTTTATTTATTTATTTATTTATTTATAGATTCTGTGGCTGTTCCCTCTACTTCTCTCACTTCCATCTCTCTCGTTAGTCCCTCTCTTGTTACTGTTTAGGATAGAGAGGGACAGGGCAAGCGAGCTTTAATGGCGATCTCTGGCAACGGGAAATTGACCGAACTCGGATAAGCTCAATGCCTTTGCGGTCTGGACAGTGATTGACTTCTGGAAACCTACTTGGTGGTAGAAGGGTTGATGCTCTTCGTTCGAGCTGTTTTGAATCCAGTGGTCGGAGATGAAGCCTTCTCCCGCTGGTTCTGGACAGCAAGATGAAGAAGGTATGCATGTGGCCGTCTTTTTTGCTGTTCTCCTTTATCTTTGTTTGATTTCTTGGTCGTGTGTGCGAGAGGAGGTGATGCTTGTTTGATTTGTTTTGGTAGGGGGAGAGAAAAGATGCTTGAACTCGGAACTATGGCACGCTTGTGCTGGGCCACTGGTTTGCTTGCCGACTGTGGGGACTCGCGTTATTTACTTTCCTCAGGGGCACAGCGAGCAGGTGCGAGAATGTGGTTTTAACTTGAATTTCGCTATGGATTTTTTGGATTTAGCTACTTATGGTTGTGTTTGACGGAATCCTTGTTCGCTATTAAGGTTGCAGCGTCTACTAACAAAGAGGTGGAGGGCCACATCCCCAATTACCCCAGCTTGCCACCGCAGCTAATGTGCCAGCTCCACAATGTCACAATGCATGTGGGTTTGCTGTTTGGTCTTCTTTCTAGTTGATCCAAAGATTTAGAAATGCTGATTGTTTGGTTGACTGCAGGCAGATCCAGAGACAGATGACGTTTATGCCCAGATGACTCTGCAACCTCTGAGTCCGGTAATGGTCAGATAATTAGTGTTTCATGCATTCTAATTTTTTTTTTTTTTTTTGGGACGGCTTTTGAATTGAGCCGGTACTTCTCGTTCAGGAGGAACAGAAGAATAGTTATGTCCCCATTGAAATGGGAGTTGCGAGCAAGCAGCCAATGAATTATTTTTGTAAAACTCTGACTGCCAGTGATACTAGTACACATGGAGGGTTTTCGGTTCCTCGCAGGGCAGCTGAGAAGGTGTTTCCTCCTCTTGTAAGTTTATGATGATCTTTGAATTGGATGTTTGTAGTGCTGTTTTAATCTGATATTTCGGAAATAAGTGAGATGCTTGTACTCATTGTCTGCTTTCAGGATTTCTCACAGCAGCCACCAGCGCAGGAACTCATTGCTAGGGATCTCCATGATGTTGAGTGGAAATTCAGGCATATCTTCAGAGGTATTTTTCATGGCTCTTCTACGAATAATTTATTCTTATCCCTCTTTCTTGGTCAAGACTCGGCCTGGGTGCCAAATTGTTTCTGATAAGTTATTGGCCCAAACATTTATCATACCCAGTCAGCTAAAGCTTCATTATCATGCCAAATAATTAAGTTATTGACAACCATCTTAGTTTAATATTCCGACTTGTTAAAGCATTTCTTCTCAACAATTACCCCAACTAAGAGGCTCTTTGGCATCGGGATTTATACATGATTTAGCATAAATTCTGCCAAACAAGATTCGAGAATCCCGTAAATCTCACGGCGAGATAAATCTACCATCACCCAATTTTTGGCATAAATCCTGGATTTACTAAATCCCGGGGTTTGACAAATTTATAAGATTTGGACGAAGAAGCTCTAAAAAAGGATAAAGATGGTTACTTTGCAACGAGCGAGCAATCATGACTTTTGAATCGATGTCGTCGAAGGAGGCTAAGAAGCTTCTTTAGCGACTCTTTCAAAACACTACTTCACGTGAGGAACTTGAAGCCCTTTAAAACACTACATGTGAATCCAAAGAAGCAACGAAGAAAAGGCCACGAGAAAACAAGCAGCAATAAAGAAATGCAGAAGATGAAAAGCAAACCCTACTATGCCTAGGGGTGTCAATTCGGGTCAGGGGGTCGGGTTCGGGTCGAACCCGGAACTGACCTGGGTTCAATCGGGTCGATCCTAACTCGACCCGAGTAGGTAAACGGGTCGGATATTCGAATCCAGACCCGACCTGGCGGGTTGCCGGGTTGACCTGACCCGACACAGGAAGGAGACCAGTGCAGACGCGGGCGTGGTCGAGAGCAGATGCCTGCGCGGACACGGACGCGGACGCAGGCTGGCTGGCGTGGCAAGTGCGCGGGACGCTGGCCAGTGCAAGGTTGTGTGGGCGGGTGCGTTACAGCGCGGGTACGGACTCGCGTGCAAGGGTGCGCGGGCACGGGTGCGTGGGCAGGTGCAACAGGCGCTTGGGCAGCCGCGCGGGGTAGCCTTTGGCGGGCGGTTGACTGCGGGCACACGCGGGCTGTGGGCGGGCAAGGTCGGGCAGCTCCGAGGGTAGCAGGGCATGGGACAGGCAGGTTAGGGCCGATCCACGGGCAGCCGGGCAGACATTTTAAACTGGTTTCCAGGTTGACCCGGCAACCCGTCGGGTCAACCCGACCCGACCCGTTTTTCAAACGGGTCGAATTTGGGAACCGAACTCGACCCGTTTTGGAAACAGGTCGGGTCTAACCCAAAATTTTTGGGTCGGGTTTTCGTGTCGTGTCAAATATTGACACCCCTAACTAAGCCTGCCATCTAAATTAGAAATTAATATAATATAGCTTAATTAATATAATTTTAAATATTAATAATTAATAAAGTTAATTACTTTTATAATTACTAGTTAGTTGAATATTAGTTAAATAGTTAATTAAAGTGTTGCAACTCTGGTTCTCATGTTTATGATTTTGATGATAATAAATATTATTGATTAGCTCTTTATTTCTCCTAGTATTTGTAGTGTATATCTTTTTGTGTGTTGACTAATTTTTCAGGTACAACATACACGGTTCTTTGAAGATTCAATGCTCAAGATAGGGTAGAATATGTTATGTTAAAAAAGTATAATTTTCATTTATTTATTTTTAATTTTTTGATTCAAGTCTTATAAGGGTGTATGCTAGCCTGATGATCATGCACACACATAAGTGATAGTGCAATACCCAAAGAGGACTCTGGAGAGTGGACGTAGGTCATGCTTTGACCGAACCACTATAAATCTGGTGTGCTCATTCTAATTTTTAATTTATGCACTTTTTTTTCTCGCATTATATTTTTTGATATAACTTCTTGGTTGAAAATCTTTAATTGATTTTATGTTGTATTGATTAGATTATTATCACCATTTTTGTAACTTTTAATAAGTGTACTAGCTTTCGCGTCAAGTGATAGTATTGCTTTCATCCTAGTGAGTCTTAGGACCAGTTCATTAAGGTCTAGCAACCTTTATAAACTTTCATAAAGAAGTATTAGTATAATTAGTAATTAAAAATAATATAATTAGTTTAATTAATATAAATGTTATAGAAATAATTATGTAATTAACATTATAAATAATAATTAAATAATTAATTAATTGTAGAATATTTAAGTGATTAATGAGATAATTAATAATTAAAACTAGTTAAATATTACTTAAATAATTAACTAAATCATTAGTCAGTGTATTGCTTAAATAATTAGGCTTTTCTTGTACTAGTAGCAGTGTTAGTTCCACGGCCTTAGTAACCTCCTTACTCAGCCGTCGATGAAGATTAAGAATTAGAGCTTCACACGGACAACATGGGGATTATAAAAAGTCATATGAAAGATTTTCAAAATTTAGAAGCTACTCAAATATATGAAGGACACACATATCAAATACACTAGAGGATGCCATCAATGAAGATTTAAACATCCCTTGCTATGTGTTAGACACGTTTTTTAGATGGTGCAAGATATTGAATGCGGCGACATCACATCCCAAATTCTTGGATAAAACTCTATTAACTTAGATCTCCACTAAAAAGAGAAATTCACCTCCCACATTCTTATGATAAGTGTAATAGATTAATAGTATACATGACGAGATTCTAAAAATAACACCTAGGTGAGTCTTAATTTTAGGAATTTTTATTGCGTCCTCCCACCTAATGTAGAGATACGTCCTCCCAGAGCTAAAATCACGCTAAAAAATGAGAAATACCGAGCAATACCAAACAATAACGAGGAATATCATCATGTGAAGACCAATATCGAGTTATACCGAGCTATACCGAGCAATACAAAAAAATACCTAGTTTTTCCTAGAAAAAACTCGGTTTTTTTTTGAATTGCTCGGTATAGCTCGGTATAACTCGGTATTGGTCTTCACATGATGATATTCCTCGTTATTATCAAATAATACGTAGCAATACCGAGCAAAAACCGAGTTTTTTGGCGGTGGGAGGACGTATCTCTACGTCAGGTGGGAGGACGCAATAAAAATTTTAATTTTAGAGACTATTCTAGAGAGCATTTATTATGGAAGATCTTCCTTCTCCCAAATTTTTAAGAATACATGAGAAAGATATTTTGCTAGCAGAGAAAATGCTCCCAAAAGAAGCCTACTTACACTGAAATTTCTTTTTCATTTTCTCATTATCTTTTGTATGCTTGATGGTGGACAAGCATTGATACTTATACACACTACTCAAATGTCAATGAAACGTTTTTTGTCTATGGTGTAAATCATGTTAGAACGCAAATACATGTATTATATCAAGTAATAAAATGATGAATAGAGTATCAATTCCACAAGGAAACAACTAGAAATATCTAAGTTCACTTTGCTATTGTTTACTATATTGCTAAATTTATCTAGTGAGCCTGTTAAAATGGTCTGAAGGTTAAAAGTAAAATCTTCAAATTATAGAAATAAACTTTTCTAATTTTATTAATTTTGAACCTATGATTCTTCAAAAGAATATGATTTCTTAGAGGGGTCTATTTTCTATGGTTGTTATGGATTAGAGCAATTATGCTCCTCGTCTTTGTCGAGCTCATCGGAGCATAAGCTAGGATCCTCATTAACTACGTTTGTACTATCTTCTTAAGATCCCATAATTTTAATCACCATATGTTTAAGTCATGGCCGAACTATGTTTTAAATTTTCTGGTTCTTTTATTCCTGTGTTGTGGCTTTAGATTACAATAAGTTTTTAATTTATATATGGCCTATGCAAAACCAATTGAAGAGCAGAGAAGTTAATAAAGGTATGTATATAATGAACTTTAAACCCTACTCTAAGCAATACATGCCTTTCAATTCATTATGGATTCAGAGAAATTGATTAGTAACACATGGAGGCATTATTACACATAACAAACATAATAAATATAATTAACATTTAATTATACTAAATGATTCACAATTACAAATTACAAACACAAAATAATAATTGAAATAAGAGAAATTAATGTTTAGAACATAGAAGTAAATCTACAATTCTTTTTTCACTTCCTTAATTTGCTTCGCTTCATTTCAAATTTCTAATACAGGACTCTAAGTATAAGATCACAAGCTACACACTCCCTATACAACCCTCACACTCACACATACATACTCAAAAAACGATTCCACAAGTTACCCCACCAAGTTGCCAAACTCTCAAGAACTAAGTTGAGTATTTATAGTTTTTAAATTTTTATGAACGAGCATTGCGTCGTTGCTGAATCGGCGCATCGGTTCACTAATAGTCTTCGGTTCACCAGTCCAACTTCCAATGCGGCGTTGGGCGATTTGGCAAGGCAGTGCTGACTAGATAGCACTTCGGCATTAAGCTCTCTATTAGATTTTTGGTAAGGTCTCCGCTGCAGCACTAAATGTGTGGCATTGTGACACTTGATTATGTTCTAGCACTGCGTCACTGGTCCAATTTTTTTAAAAATTTCTTATAATTTTATGCACAAAATATAAAGATTACAAGCACAAAATAACATAATAATAGACAATTAAAAATAATAATTTTTATTTTTTCAATATTCACCTCAACACAAATTTATTGGACCTTCTCATCTATCCCTCATAATCATCCACCAGTCTCAAGTTGGATAGTAATATTCGTTGGTCTTCTTATTGAGATTTGGAAGAAATTAGAAGAAGATGATCTCATGATTATGATAAGTTGAGAAATATATCTATCCAATAGAAGGTAGAGCCTTAGCAGCCATCAAAGAGGCATTGATGTTGATGGAGTACATTAATTAAACAAAATTCAATGAGTTCAAGTCTAAGCTTAGCATTTTAACTTTTGATGGTGGGCAGGGTTACTGTCACCTATAAACTGGAGGGTATATTAGAAGGCCTACACAATGGGTCACCAATAGCTATGAAGTGTTCTTCCATGCTAAAGAGGGTGGGAGGGTAGCTCTCCCTACTCATAATTGATCAAAGTGGATT